AAAGAAAAACCCGAATAATGGAACTGATTCCCGACCCTTCGCCGAGGGCGTGGGCCAGGGTCACAGCAACAGCCTCGCACCCAGCCCAAGCTGGTGCCGGCTGGCGAGCTTTCTGAACCTATTAAGCTGCTTTCGATTTAAAAATGTCCTAATCGTGAAACATTCTAAAGTTAACATACCTTTTCAGGATTTTAGGCCTCTAGAGGCCGTGCCAAAACCCCATTGTAGTGCCTGTGCACTACAAGTGGTGTGGCCGGCCGCCCGCGCTGAGCTCCTTGGAGCAAGCTAGCGTCGCGAATATTATTCATTTTACCTTCTTTACCCCTTATATATATATATATATGTGTATGCCTAGACATATGCATACATACATATATATATATATATAAAGCGTAGTATAATATAGATTATATATATTGCATATATATGCCATATAAATATATATATTATATAAATTTACATGCATATATAAAAAACATATATACTATATATATACCAAATATATACTACATATATAGTGTATATATATATATATTATATATGGTGTGTGCGCCTAGTAGGTATGCGTAGGACGGGTACGTAGTAGCACCAGAGAGCACTGTTCACTACTCTTTTGCTTTGGCCCTTGTGGACCGGTTCTTATCCAGTGTACCACCTGCTCGTTCCCTCCAAATTTCTGTTCGTTTTAAGCCTTTTTCCTTCGTTGTAGCTCCAGCCCTGCAATACCACCAACGTGGTGCCAGAAGCACTCTCCCAATACCCCAGTGGACAGGTACTTTATTCAAATTGCACTCTTCATGCTCCTCAGATATTCAGATGGACGTAGTTCTTGGCATCTAATAAATGGCGATGGAATAGGCACCACCGCAAGTGGGGAACTCTGGTGGCAACAGACGAAGCGTAGACCATGCGGGCCATAAGTTCCCGCTTGACTTCATGCAGACGTTTTAAGCGAACTGCACGATCACGTTTTTAAGGGCCATGATGGGGTCAGCCCATCAGTGGAGCTAGGGGCAAGGCCCTCTTGATGGGCAAGGGTGCCTCTACCAGCCAAAGAGTACGCCCCCAATTTTCCAGCATATCAGCTGTAGAGCCAAGGAACGCAGTAAACAGTTTGGTGGCTCCTAAAGGGATATTGAGTCCTCAGGGCTCATAATAAATCACCGGCGGAGGTAGGGTTTGTGTTTTGTGAAAATATCAAAGAAATACGTTCAGTTTATACCCTGTTCGATTTCAGTTGGAGCAAAGGGAGTGGCCCACTATTTGATCTCTGAGGTTCCACAGTTTATGGAAAAAAAACCATTACTAACAGGAGCCCAAAGTTCTTTAGCTCACGATTGTCTCTCTTTTGAATACGACCCACGTTGGACTGTTCACCGCAGGCCCCTACTTCTTTCGAAAGCTTTGCTTGGTTACGTTTTCGCAATTCTGTCATAAGTTTCTGGCAGACCGTGGAAAAGAGCTGCAGTGCAGCGCATCTCGAAAAATTTCCTTTGGTAGGATGTGCTCCAAGAGAGTGGTAGACGTACTTAGATGTAGCGACCATTATCGCACATTCTCCTTTAAACACGAGAACAATCATACAACTTTTGTTTCGGGTAAATTCTTCAGATGAGAGCACAACACTGGAAATGCAAGGAATCATTCTACTGCCCCAACATTGCGGCTCCAGCCCAACGCGGGCGGTGAACGAATGAGGAGGTATTCTTCATGAATGGTTTTATGTAGGAACAATATCCACTGGATGGGATGCAGATGCTGCGCTCGCTCCAAAGGTATGGGGTGGCAAGCCGTTGGTCACCTCCCGCCCGCAGCCGATTTGCGCTCTATCTCGATTGTGCTTGAGGAGAAAAGGGCTGAACCTTCGACAGATTTGTGGGAGAACCTCGGAATAACCCTTTGCGTATAGAACCTACACAGCTAATCAGTGATTCTCACTAGGCCACTCAGCTGTAGGGATGCGATTCGTTGCTCGATTCTCCCCCCTGCAGAGCGAGTGGTGCTCCAACGACCTTCCTCGATCTTTGAGAGGAACGCCGTCAGCTGCAATGACTCGTGATATGAGCTCCCCCAAAAGCTGCCGACCTGTTTCCAAGTCCTCAAGCTTACTGGGCACAGTTGCTCAAATGCCTGGGGATGGTGCGATGAGCGCAACGCACATTGCGGCAACCCCTGCTGCTAAACAAGTCCACTTGCAGGCAACGCCAAACCCCCCTTTGCTACATGCACTAACACGTAGACAGCGGCTAAGCAATTGATTGCCCGTCAACAGCAGGCGCGCGTGCAAGTAGAGGTAAACGTAACATATTAGCCCACGCTACGCAGACAAAAAAACGTGCTGACAGCTTGCATTTAGCATGGTAACCCTGCCCCTTTGCTCCCCACTGAAGAGCTATGTGATGGTGATGGCTACATTTGCCTCCACCACCATCTTCAGAATAGCTTAGGGCCTTGAGTGGGCCTGAAGAGCCTAGCACTTCGCTAGAGTTGCTTGCTGAGCATCCACTCTATGCGCAATGTTCTCGGTGGAAATAAACTGTACTTGTAGTTTTCTGCTGTATGTTCTGCATTGGAGCAAAAATGAAATCTCTGCCCTTGCCCGTGGGAAAATTGCAGCGCGCGGTGGGGCTTCAGTGCTTGCCTTCTGTGCATCGATAGCCTGCGCAGCCACACACCCCGTTCAAAGAACTAAACTGCTTTCCCTGCACTTAATGGACTCATGTACTTCTTTTCAAGCTTTTTTATCTTCATAAGGCTGTTTTCCCTATTTTGCATCATTTGTTCCTGCTTTTGCCTCAGCTGCAACAGGAGGATCGTCATTGCGTCTTGGCTAGCCCAGCGAATGCCACCATCTGCACTTCTTTCCCGCTACTGTTGGGGCTGTTAATGTCATTGGTTGGTATTACCCTTAACGTTTTCCCTCCAGATCTAGTTACATCCCAAGAAGGGCGTTCGTACGTCCGCACATGCCCGCCTTTGTTCGTACGTCCGCACATGCCCGCCTTTCCTTCCACTCGTTGCATGCATTCATTCTTCTGGGGAGGATTCTAGGCTCTTTTCATTATTTCTTCCACATTTTGACAATTTCCTTCTTTTTATCACATGTTGCTCCAGGAGAATTAGGTAGGTACGGAGCATTTCTCCGCAGCACGACTCTACGGAGCAAGCCAGCTGGCGTAGCGTCAACGGTAGCGAGGAGACCCGCACGAACAAGAGCTTCCCCACCAGCGGCTGTTGCTCACCCTAGAAGCTGTATCAGCAGCAAGATCAGCAGAATAGTCGACAACGGCAGCAGGCCGACGCTGCTGTGGCAGCGGCGGGACAACTCAGAGCAGCAACAAGGGCAGCCGCAGGGTTTGTTTGTATGCGCTTGAGATAGTGTGTGTGCTCCGTGGCCGTCGGGCCTGCGGCTAGCCAAGATGGCGTCGGAGCCGTTCATTGACTATAAACCAACATGGGAGGTGCTAGCGGGAGATGAGGGGAGCGTCGAGTCCGCCTCGGACTCGGCGACTGAGAAGAGCCCCATGAAGCAGCGAAAGGGGGGGGCTATCGGAGCCAAATACAAAGCTCAGGACAGCAGAGATAGGCATGAGACGCAGGACAGCCTGAAGCTGCGCTCCATTGCGGTGGTTAACGTCTCCTCTGCACTTGACGGCTGCGACGACCAGCTCCTCCCCGCGACATTCAGGGCCTTAGAGAGCGACTTAGGCTTTCACCCTTCTCTCTTAGGCTACATCACTCTCTCTCAAACACTGTGCCTTTCTCTTTTCTGCCCCCTTTGGGGCTATCTAGCCGATAGACACTCCAGGAAATGGCTGCTCGTCTTCGGCACCACCGCGTGGGGGGTTATCACGACTGCGCTTGGACTCGTCTCCGAGTTTTGGCAGGTAGAAACATGCTCCAAAACGTAAAATCTAGAACATAGATTTTGATATGTGCCCGCCTAAGCAGGCCGTGCAGGTGGGAGTGGACGGAATGCTCTGGGGTTCGTGCGTATGTGATACTGGTGTGGAGGTGCTCTTGTTGCTGCTTTTGTTGCTGTTGCTGCTGCGATTGTTGTAGGTGGCGCTGCTCCGAGCGCTGAACGGCGTCTTTCTGGGGAGTGTGGGCCCAGTGTCCCAGAGCATTTTGGCAGACACATCACGTCGGCGGAGTTTGGGGTTTTCTTTCGGTCTCGTTCAGCTCTGCACCAGCATGGGCAGGCTGGTGGGGGGGGTCGTCACGACTACCGTGGCCCAGATACAAATGGGAGCCCTTAAGGTCCGCATCTGCAGACAGACTCTGCGAGCTGTCCAAGGAACTGGGAGGGAGTTTTCGCGTCCATTGGGCAGCAGAGGGAGATGGATATTGTACCTGCTTGTTCGCGCCTGTTTGTTTGAATGGCAGTGTGGCGCATGCTGTCGTCTGCTTTTGCTGCGATATATTGTGTCGTAGGGCTGGCGCGCTTGCTTTATTTGCGTGGGGGCCATGAGCTGCTTGCTGGGAGTACTTATTTCTTTTGTTTTGGAGGAAATTCCTCGTCGGCGAGTCTTGCGGCCGCGCATGGACGACTCTGGGGGCACGGGATCAGTGATGCAGTCTTCCGACACCTGGAGCTCTTTCCTCAAAGAGGTCGTCACGAAGTCCCTCTCAACCCCTAGCGTCCTCATTGTTCTTGTGGAGGTGCGCTCTCTCCTCCGAGTTAGCTAGATTCCGCCCTTTACCAACTAGTTAGCCTAGCTTGCTGTCTGCCGTAGGCGGCGGTTTGAAGGGTTGAAGGAAAGAAATAGGGATCGAGGTACAGAGCGCTGTCTGCATACGGCTCATATCTGTGGCAACTCTGGCTCTAGGGAAAGTAGGGGGAGGGGTCAGGAAGGGGGTCTAGTGCTCTCCTGCGCGGGTGCTGTTGTGCCACGCTCTCTCGGTTCACATGACGGCGAGTTCAGGGCCATAGGACTTCTGTGCTTGCGGTAGTATCCGGAGTGTGTTGCCGAATGGCGTCGCTTTATAGAGTAGTAGATGTATTTTGCTTGGCTGTTATCGTGGGCAAGTTCAATTCGGCCTGTTTATCTGCACGGGAAGTATGTGGGGTGCCGGTAGAGCTGGACGCAAGAATGGCACAGTCTCAGGAAGGGCTTGAGTAAACGTCTTTTCTCAGGGTTTGGTGGGGACAATCCCGTGGTCGGCGTTCAGCTTCAACACAATGTTCTTTCAGTACTGTAACATGTCGGACCTGAAGGCGGCGTACATTATGGGGGCTCTGCTTATTGGCTCGGCGGCTGGCGGAGTCCTCGGAGGGCTCTTGGGGGACAAGCTGTACGACTGGTCTCCTGGGCACGGCAGACCGCTTGTGGGTGCGTTCTGGGATAGACCGTTGGAAACGGCTATCGCATCTGAGGCAGAAGTTGCGGACTTTTTATCCTGCTCTGCCTGCCCTTCTGTGTATGCCTCTGTCTGCTCTAGTTGTGCTCGTAGCTTTGCGGTCGATGAGAGCTTGCGCTGATAGGCTGAGTTGCGCTTCTCGCTCGTGTGGCTGCCTAGGAGTCTGTGCACTTCTTGGGTTTCTGCGCTCTTTGGGTAAATGAGCAGCAGCGTTGTTCTTTGTTGAGTTTTCCTTGGCCTTCGCACGCAGGTCAGTTTGCCATGGCGGTGCGGGTGCCCTTGCTGGTGGTCGCCTACGTGATTGTCCCGAAAGAAGAGACGTCGTTTGCAGTGTTTATGCTGCTGGCCCTCCTCGTGGGGTTTTCCTCCATGGCGGGAGTAGCGGTCAATAGGCCCATCCTTGCCGACGTCGTGCGTCCCAACCACAAAGCCACTGTTTTTGCCCTGGTGAGCTCACACGTCCAAATGCCCCAGTAAGTAATGTAGCTTTTTGCAGACAGCCAAAGCGATATGGAAGCGCTTCAGGGGGCTCAGCCAATAGTGTATGATACTCTACGCACGTCGTGCGGGGTCGCGGATACGGGGCAGCAGGCTAGCACTTGCAGTTAATCTGTGTGGGGTAATGCCTGCCTTTGCCTTGCAAGCGGCTGGGTATGCTGCTGATGAGCTGCTTACGCAGGGGGATGGAGGCCGTTTGGCTGTGTAAAGTCAAAGTATTTGGTTGCATCCTGCCTGCATGTGCCTCTGTGTTTCGTGAACTGCTCTCTCATGATTTCGTCGAGCCTGGAGGCAACTGCTCTTTATCATATTTGCGTCTGCAGACGGTGGCAGTGGAGGGTAGCGGCGCCGCTATTTTGGGGGCGCCGCTTGTGGGGTATTTGGCGGAGCATTCCTTTGGGTATCTGCGAACAACTTTGCTGGTTGCTGAAATGCCCGAACAGCTGCGTCTGGGGAACGCAAACGCCTTGGCCTCTGCTCTCGCCTTCCTTACGGTTATCCCCTGGTCTATCTCTTTTCTACTGTATGGACTTCTCCATTTCACCTACGGTCAGTCCCCCGACCCACAGCCCGCTGGGCAGTACCTCCCGCAGCCGCCACTGCTTTCGTTGGTGCAAATTAGACTAAGAGCTAGTCACAGCTTGCTTGCGGCGATTCATTTGTTCGTCACTGCTGCTGCTTCTCGTTGCACTGCTGCCCCCTTCAAGCGGTCTCGGCCTGTGCATGGCAGCGCGTAAAAGATCGTCCAAACACCCAGACGCAGTCATGCATCAAGGGGTTTCTTTTACTCCTCAGGCAAAGCTGGGGCTGTGCGGATGTGGGGAGGGGCATTATGTGGCCATATGGTGGGGCGGGGCAGCGGATGTGCGTTAGGGATTTTTATTAAATGACAGTGTCTCGGGATTGAGCATGGAAGGGCTTGCTGGCTGTATGCGAACTTTAGGACGGGACCAACAGAGGATCAGCGCAGTGCTCGAGGAGGAGTTTCGTCACGATGATGAAGATAAGGAAGACTGGGTGAGAGAGAGACAACCGCAGTCAAGATGTGCAGAGACAGACGCGGGTGTGTCAGCTGATGCTGTTGCTGAGGGTTTTCTGGGAACTGAAGACAGCGCCAGCGACGCTTCCCATAGAAGGACCTCTCCCCGCAAGCCCCAGGAAGCAGTACTCAGTTCCAGCGACTAATCGCTCGCTCTACTGCAAAGGCTTTGATTGTCCAGCTCTCAGATGGCAACGCGTTCGCTGCACTGCCTTGGCCCTTGCAGCGCCTTCAGTGACGCATCTCCCCTGGTATGTCGAGGTGGGGGGTCGTGAAGTTCTGCGCGGCCTTTGCCTAGCCACGCTGCTGCGTTCTTTCGAGTGGTTGCACCGGCGGTGGTTGTTCTGCTAGCGACGCACTTGGTTCGCCTGCCAGTTTTACCTGTCTAGCTAGCATTGTGGCTAGCTGCTGCCTGCATCGAACCTACACGGCGTGCGCCTTCTGGTGTTCGTTAGAAAGTCCCTCGTATTTCGATCAGTGGGTGGCAGGCATACAACACAATCAAAGGCAGCAGCAGCTACTGCTGTTACTAGAGCAGCTGGAGGGTCATGGAAAACGGGGGAAACTGGTTGTTGAGGACATGGCTTCTGGCGTCGCTCATGCTTGTATGCTGCGCTGAAATTCGGGGACGAAGTTTGTCTGTACAATTCCCTGTTGGAAACTCTAACTGTTTTGACTCTTAAGACCCAGCTACCTAGGCCCATGGCTAGCTACGGCTAGCCAGCTACCTGGCCACGTACTTAAGACGGACATGGGAAAGTAGCTAGCGTGCCGGTTGGGGCAACGACCAAAGTCGCGAGTCCAGCTAGCAGGGGAGATGGCGAGGCGAGCGGCAGCTGATAGATTAGCTTATCCAACCAGTTATTCGGCCATTACTTAGGGCCCTCCTGCTGTGCTACGCAGCTTCTGGCTAGAGCTGGAGCTGTTGCAAGCGGCGCAAACCCTGCAGTATACCTCGCTAAGGGGCAGCAGTAGCAGCAACGCCAGCAAGAGTAGTTAGTCCAGCAGCATCAGCAAAGAAAATGGTGACAACTGGGCCTGCCGCATTAGGTTTGAGCGTGCGGTGAAGGGACTGCATAGCTGTCAGTGGTTGATGCCCTCGCGGAAAGAGAATTCCACTCTTGGGCTGTATGCGCCTGGGGGGTTGGGGGAGTGTTGGTTCTAACGGGCACAAGCGAAGTGCCGTGCTCCTTCCTCTCTTGCAGCAAACCGCAACCCCCGAACGATTCGCTGTCGCGGGCCAGCTGCTGCACCCCCTGCATACCAGCCCCACGCACACACACCAACGCACGTACCCTATAGCCTTCATGGCCCACTACTTTCCCTGAAGCTCGAGTGACCTCCCAGTTGTCAGGTGCAAAGTACAGAACGGCATATAGTTCAGCTTCACTTTTTCCTTGCCGTAAACCCTAGAGCTTTCTACGAATAGCCCTAGGGTATACGATTCAGGGTTTGGGCTGTAACTGCTGTAGGTTAGCATAGCTCCGAATTCTGAACCGTCTTCTAGGACTTTTCGTACCTGTGCAAGAGCGGCATAGTGAGCAGCCAGCTCTCTCTTCTCTCTGATAGCCGCTTGAGTCTCTTCCGCCGCCATCCTAATCTCTCGTTGTAGCCTGTGCTGCTGTTGCTGCTGCTGTTGCAGCTCCTGCTGTAGCAGCTCTGCTTCCTGGCAGACCCTCTCGTGCTCGCTCCGCAATTGCAGATAGGCTGCTGCAGCGCGTTTTGCTGCTGCTACTAAGGCGCCGCTGTCTCGATCTTCTGGGTCGTCCTCTCCGTCGCTGCTGCCGCGCTTGCTGTTGTTGCTGCAGCTGCGCTTGCTACTGCTGCTGCAGAGGCTGCTGCGGTGCCGTACCGGCAGCAGAAGAGGTCCCAGATGTTCGTATGCCCTTTGTCGTTCACTGCAAAGAGCATCAACTCTCCTGAGTGCCTCTTGCTGTTCTTCTGTTGCTGCAGCAGCTGCTGCCGCTGTTTGTTGCTGCAGCTGTTGCAGGTCCTGAAGTTGTATCTCAAAGTGCATACGGTCTTCTGCTGCGCGTGCCTTTTCAGTGTTGAGGTCATCTGATGCTTTCGTATTCGCCGCTACGGCGGCTCTCAACTGCTGTTGCTGCTGCTCGATTTGTTGTTTCAGCAGCTCTTGTTGAGCTGCTGCCGCCTGCTGCTGCTGAAGCAGTTGTGCCTCTGCTGCTGCTATTTCTTGCGTGCGTTTCTCAAGCTGTTCCTGCTGCTGCTGCTGCTGGTGCTGCAGCTCTTGCAGTTGCTGCCGCAGCTGCTTAAGAGCGTCCTGCCTCTCCTCTTGCTGCTGTTTGCTCTTTGTTAGAAGCGTCCTGTTGGCTTGCTTGACGGAGCGTAGTTCCTCCTGCTGCTGCTGAAGCTGTTGCTGAAGCTGTTGCTGCTCCTCATTGCTGCGCCGTTGCATGGCCTCTAAGGCTTTTACCTACAAAAAGTCCCAAACACACGCAGAATTGGAGAGGGCCTGAGATCTTGGCTTGAAACAAATGAACGAATACAAGTAAATATCAGCTCATTTATCATTCTGTGAAAATAAACAACCCCACAGTTCGGTGCATTCATCAGTTTGCGCACGCTTCGTTCTGTCCCCGAGAGACAGCCCTAGTTCCGTTTAGTTAAGGTTCGGGGCAGACACCCCGGCACTGCCAAGAGCGTAGCGTTTGGTGTTTAGGGGTTGGGGCTCAAGAATGCACCTGCTCAGCAAGCTCCTGCCTTTTTTTCTGAAGGTTTCGGTTTCGCTCATTGAGCTCCTTGCTGCGTTCCGAAAGCTCCTTATTCTCCTGAACAGCAAACCCTAAACCCTAAACCCTAAACCCTACACCGTGGTTCTTTGAATCCAATCTGTAGACCCAAGCCAGAAATGCCGCCCTCAACCCATTCTACCAGAGCTTCGGCCTTCTTCTCAAGAAGATGTCCCTATAGGACTTCGACATAAGGATGTGGGGCTTGCAAGTATAACTACGGGAGCAGCGTTTAAGGCTTACAAGGTTAAGTTTGGCATTGGCTTCTGTCAGCTGCTTCTGCTGCGCCTCTGCTTTTGCCTTGAAGGCTGCTGAGGCTTCCTGAACATCCTTTAGCTGTTTTTCAGCAGCGGCTGCAGCTACTGTTGCTTTATGAGTAGCTTCACTCAGCCTCAAGTTAATAGCTTCGCGTTCGGCGGCGGCTGCTTCTGCTGCTGCCGCCGCTGCCTGCTGTTGCTGTTGCAGCTCCTTCTGCACAGTCTGGAGCTGGCTTTGCTGGTCCTGATGTTGCTGTTCCAACAGCGTCTTTTCGTGAGTCGTCGCTTGCAGCTTTTCTATAATGGTTTTGTTTTCAATCAAGAGCTCCTTGCGCTGCCTCGCCAGTTCCTGATTAGCTGTAGCTAGCTGGTTGTTCTGGGCCTTCAGGGCTTCAGCTAGCCGTTGAGCCTCCTCGCGTTGTTCCTTCAGCCGTTTGTACTCGGAACCCAGTTGCTGCAAGTGGGACAAGAACTCGGGGTCGCTTTCCATCCTCTCAGACTAACAAACCCTGAAAAATGAAGTGCCCAGGCAGCAGCGCTGGGGAGCCTGGCAGGGAAAAGGACGTTGGTTGACTCTGGTAGAAATATTTGTTACCAGATAAGCAAAAGAAGTCTTGGACATAACCCTAATCCACCCTCGGCCTCCTCTCTGCTAGGTGGTGTAGTGTGGGTGGCAGCGGGAGACCAGGGGCGAAGTGGTTGAAGGGCTAAGGAAATGAAGGGCTCCGCACGAAACCTCCCCGCTCATTAATATTTCAAAATATTTCGAGTTAGGCACTACTGAAAAATAAGGTGTGAGGAGCCAAGATAACAAAAAGGCAGAGCTGCTCACATACCTCGGGATGGTGGTCTCCACGCCAGCCTACAGTTGCAGGTGTGGAACTCAAAATAGTGAGAAAGACCTTTCGAATAAGATCAGTAACAAATTTAATTAAATCAAATGAGCCATTAAGCAGAACATTATTGAACTAAAGAATTATGATTGTAGGCTGCCAGGGCGCTGAGGCCGCTGTGGACCGGTTCGGTGTACATACTAAACGGCAGCCATGAGCAGCAAGCATAGCCTCTTTCTAATAGTAGCTCTACCTAAATATTTTCCCTCTTGTACATCCAAAATTTGAAAATGTCCGTCCCACTATACTGAAACGAATGCATCCTCCCACCACTGGGGTTCCACTACCAGGGTGGCACAGGGGCCCCCACTTGACCGGGGGCCCCCTGAGGGGGGCCCGTGAGAAGTTGTTGTGAATTATCTAAAGAACTTATGAGGACTTCGAATATTTTTTTTTGTTAACGTATTAATACTAAACCCCAAGCCGTCAACCTATGGCTGCGGCGCCGTTGGCAGCCCTTGCTGCTTTCCCACCTCATGCTTCTCTAGTTGGTGTATAAATGGCGTACGGCACTTAAGCTGCAGTTCCCTCGTCATAAGTGCTGGCTTCTTCAATGGCATGCTTGTCGCCCTCACGACCCCACAAACACCCAGCCTTTTCCAGCGCCAGGCAGCAGCCCCAGCAACAAACGCAGGGGCAGCAGCAGCAGGTATAGCAGCAGGGGCAGCAACACCAAACTTGGCGGCGGTAGCCAGACCTGGACAAAGCAATGGTACGGCCGCGGCAACAATCGCAGCAGCAGCAACAATCCGTGCGGCAAGCGCAGCAAAAGCAGCAGAAGCAGCAGAAGCAGCAGGGGCGATATCCCCTGGCACAAGAACAACCGAAAGAGAATCTGGATGGAGAAGCACATTGCCAACAAGAGCCAAATCAACGGAGGCAGCAGCAGCAGCATCAGGAACTGCGGGAGCCGCGGCCTTGTAGGGGAGCGCCCCGAGTGCAAGTGGAATATTTGGGCGGCAAGAGGTCCAGAGGTCTCGTTGCATCTGAGCCTATCGAAGCCTCCGAGGTCTGATGCGGCCGACTGTGCACAGCCACTACACCTAGCTAGCAAACCCCCCGCAGCAGCTAGCCAGGGTCCTTGTGTCATGCAGCTTTAGTCGGCTCTCTGCAGGTAGTTAGGGCTTGGTCTGCAGCACGCCGGAACTTTGGTTGTATCTAGCTATTTCTTGTGCTGCACACAGCTAGATAGACTTTTGGTTGTTATGGGAGTAGCTCTTCATGGCTGTGGCTGAGACTGCTGTTGCAACCAACACTGACTACCCAGGCAGTAAACCCTAAACGATAACCCCTATCCCGTAGGCTCTACGATATCCCCGCTGCGTGCAGGTTATTTACACTGAGAAGGCTCCTCTGCTCGTAGTGCAGCACGAATTTTCGCGGTATGTTAAGGGTTCAACGGTTAACGCTTGGGGGTTTAGGGTTTAGGGCTTTTAGGGTTTAGAGTTCGGGTTTAAGGGTTTGGAGTGCATTTGCAGGCTATGCGGGCTGACCTGCAGCAACTGCATGAGCTTTGTGGGCTCACTGAAGGACTGCATCCGCCATGTACTCACGCAGTCAGTTTCGTATTAATCCTCTCTGAAGCCTTACCCTACACCTTTACTTAGCCTTACCTTTAGGCGTAACCAAAACTCTAAACCCTTGCCCTACCCCGCACCTTTACTAAGCCTCACCCCTAGGCGTAGCCGAAACCCTAAACCCTTGCGCTACCCTACACCTTTACATGGCCTCACCTTTAGGTGTAACCGAAACCCTAAACCCTTGCGCTACCCTAAATGTGTTATTATCCTTACCTCACCTGTACGCGTAGCCGAAACCCTAAACCTTTGCCCTACCTTAAACCGCTCAAGAATGGCAGTGAACCCGAAGTCTGACCCTTAAACCCTCATAAATACCATCAACGATCACAAGGCCTATGCTTAGTTATCAAGAGAGCCTGAGAAGCGCACCGCCGGCGCAGGAAAAGTAGCTGTTGTTGCTACTGTTGCTACTGTTGCTGTTGCTGCTTCTACAACTCCTGCTGCCGCTGCAACTAGTGCTCCTTCTGAAAGTGCTGCTGCTGCTGGTACAAGTCCTGCTGCTGCTGTTGCTGTTGCTTCAGGGCGGGGCGGCGCGAATGTGCAGCCGATCTGGTACTGTTGCCTGACAGCTTCATCCACAAAGCGGTAAGGGAAGCACATGCGAGGGGCTGCAGAGATCTGCTGCATTACTATAAAGACCTCAAACTTTAAACCATAAACCATTAATCATTGAGTGGAGGTTAAGGGATCAGGGGTGGGGAATGAGGTGCCAAGCTCGAAGGCTGGGGGTTCAGGGCCTAGGGTTTGCTGCTCAGGGACTTTCGCTGGGTACAGTAGTGCCCTGTGGGGAGGCCGACTGTCCGGCAGTCTTCTGTTCCCAGGAGTGCCGCGAGGTTTGTGCACACTCTAAACCCCAGCCCCTAAACCCCCAACGCGTGAATCATTTGCCCAAGCCCTAAGTCCTGTCCTTAAGCCCCAATTCATTGCTGGGAGCATACGGGAGAGAGCATCGCCTTTAGCCGTCCCCTCCTTTCCCTTTGATTTGATACGTGGCCAGGATTGACTGTTGGGGGTTTAGGGTTTAGGGTGTAAGATTTAGGGTTTGCGGGCAGCACGCGCGTCGGGAGACCTTCCATCGAATGGTTTGTGTGGAAGCGACAGAACGTAACGCTTGGCTTTCCTTCCTTTCCCACGCCCGAAGGCACCACGACGGCCTTATGATGGCAGGTACGGTTTAGGGTTAGTGGTTACCGCTTACGGTTCGGCATAGAGTCTAGTGTTCACTGCATAGGGCTTACCGGATGTGGTTTAAGGTCAAGGGTCTTTATATTGTCTTGATAGGAATTTCTTGGGGCTAAGAGAAGTGGGATTTGGGCTACTAGGGTTAAGGGTTTAGGTGTTAGGACTTAGGTTTTGTACACCGCAGGCATTTGCATGGCCCAGGTTGTCTTTGAGGTGCTTTTCGAGGGCCGGAAATTCTCAGAGGCCGTTCATCCTTTTCGGCAGTTTTATTCTGCTCCCTGGTGAGCCTTTGTTTTCTACCGATGAAAATGCAGCTCTTGTGCTATTGTGAGGTGCACAAACAGCTGCTATGGCGTCCTCCGGTGCATGCCCAGTCAACGGGGTATAGTTGTATGTGCAGCTCTTGATAGCCAAGTGCACATCGCACTAGTTGCACATACACCTGTGGAAAAGAGGGCACAAGGGAACCGTCTCTCCCTGATCCTGAGTCATCTGCTCTGAGTGTTGGACGCTTCTTATTTGCCTCTTTGCTTTTCCCAGCTGGTCGTCTCCTTCCATTGGGTTTCACTTTAATAAGCTTGTTTGCTCCTTGCCTTCATTATTTGCTGCTGTGGCTACTGCTTTTGCTGCTGTTAGTGCTCGACTGGATCTCCTCAAACATGGGTTGCCACTTTTGTTTCGCCTCCTGAACCGTGGTCTCTGTTTCGTGAGTCTCTTATCGTGGGTGTGTTCAGCGGGTAAGCAACGCTCGATGGTTTGCTGTTTAGAGTGCAGGGTCTAGGGCTTAGTTTGGGTGTTTGGGCATTGCAGGGAGTCGCTTGCACCCGACCGCGTCGCTCCTGGTGGGCCCGCAGATTCCCTGGGGAGCTCCCGCACAGAGACAGCTGAGGGGAGGAGGAGTCTCCTTCTCGAGTCGCTTGCCCTTTTGAAGAGGGTCCTAGACCCAATTATCAGCTCCTCTAAAGATCCAGCAGTGAAGGAAGCACTCGACACTCTGCTTCAGTTTGATTCTTTTTCACGCCTGCTGGTGAGCAAACCCTAAACTGCTGCTTCAGCCCGTCACTGCACGCCAGTAGACTCCCTGGGATTATCCCAATCCTCTCTTGGAGGCTCTGCAGGCGGTGCGGCGTGTAGCAGCACCAGCAGCGGCAGGCGATGAGTGCGTTTGACGTCCCTATTAGTTCTGCAGCTGGTGCTGCTGCAGGATCTAAGGGCTGCTGCTGCCGCCGAAGGAGCTTGAGAAGCAGCTCCCGAGACGCTTTCCTGCCCTGTCTCGGGGTGAATGCGCATGCAGGGGACTTTTTCCCTTGTTTGTCTCGACGTGGAGTTCCCTCATCCTCTCAATCGCCGTCTGCTCGACTTGCAGCGAAACCTTTCCCTGTTCAGCCGCTGCCATAGGGGCTTCCCAGAGGCCTCGTCAGGGGTCCCCGTGGAGGTAGCCTCGCCGTCTGAAGATATTACAGCTGAGGATGTGCAGCAGCTGCCTTTGCTAAGGAAAGTGCGTCGCAGCTGTGGTTTAGGGCGTAGCGCTCAGTTTATGATTCGGTGGTTGGGGTCTGGGGCGAATGGGTGGGGGTCTTACAGTTTAGGTTTAAAACTTCATGGGTAAGGGCTTCGAACTTGGAGCTCTCTTACGTGTGGCAGTTGCTGGAAGAGGTACACGCGATAACGCGCTGGGACGACGGTGACGAGGACCCTGAAGTCACTGGAACCCCAGAGGCCCCTGCGGTTACCTTGAGGGCCCCTCTGTTGCCATTTATTGGGTGGGGTTTGTTTCGCTTGGGCTCCATGACGAACCACAGCTGCTGGCCCAATGCAGAGGCTGACTTCCCGCTGGACAGCGCTGCCCTAGAGGTACGTTCTCCGCAGATATTATGGTTTATGCTGTGGAGTTTGGTGTTAGGAGCTCAGGGCTTGGTGTTTAGGGTCTAAGAGGAAACAGTTTGCGTAGAATTCACTTAAAGCTTAATGGCTACTCCAGATGGTTTGGGGTGTAGGTTTGCTGCAGGTCAGGGCCTTGCGGCCCATTGGCAGGGGAGAGGAGGTGACTGTTTCCTACATAGACGAGGCTCTGTCGCTCCACCAACGGCGCCAGACCTTGCAGGAAGTAGGCTTTGAGGGTTCTAGCGCTTAAGGGATAAGGGTTTCGCTGGTATCGCCATATCTTGCAGCAGGCGGCAGCAAACACTCAGCGGTTCAGGGTGTGCCACTTGGGGTTCAAGGCTAAGGGTTCGTCATGTTGGGCTTAGGGTTCAGGATTTACGATGTGGTGTTCTGCAGCGCTACGCCTTCTCTTGCACGTGCCCCCGCTGCGTTGTGGAAGTAAGCCGTGATCCATAAGCCCTAAGCTTCTAACACTAGATCATGTGTGCACTGGTCGATCTTTTCTACCTTCCCTCAGCCTTGTTGGGGTTCTGGGTCTAGGTTTTGTTTGTCAGGCTACTGAAGCTCTGCTGGTGGTCATGAAGGCCCCTGAATGCTCTAACAGCGCTATCCTGGAGGTGAAGTACTGCTGCTGTTGCTGCACTCGGTCCCTTGCTGGTGTTGCTTCTGCCTGATGCCCGAGCTCTTGCTGGTGCTGCCGTTTATGGTACTGTGCGATGCTGCTGTTGCTGGAGCGACGGGCGCCGCTCGTCTGCTGCCGCTGCAGCGGCTGCTGCAGGACCAGTGCATGCATGCCGCTACTGTTCCTGCTGTTCCTTCTGCTGCTGCTGTTGCTGCTATTCTTCCATGTGCAGGAGCTTGTGGCTCGGAGGACGGGTTTGCCCTTGCCCGTTGTCACCGAAGTCAGGCAGTATTCACAGCGCCTCTCCAAACCCTTAACGTCGAATCGTGAACCCCAAGCTGAGCCCCCAAAGCAACCCTCAGAGGCGCCACCTCCTTAACTGCACGCCGCAAGGAAAATCACAAATGCCTAATTCTACGGCACTACTACCATTGCAGTCTAATTGGACCTCTACAGGTCTATCCGGCTCCAGTAGTGCAAATAATATGCAAATAATATTTTATTAGAAAAGATTCAAGAAGGTTTTAGACAGGAAATAAGGCCATCAGGCTAAGTGTGCTCGGCAGCAACCGTGGGTGTGAAGCTGTCTGACACATATATATATATATATATATATATATATATATATTATATGCATGCATAGGGTCGACGAGGGGTGGCAGCTGATGGCACTGTTCACTACGGAGATGTAAGCAAACGAAACGAAATCGGCTTCATTTTTGGCGTTCGAATATGCAGCCCGACACCATGTATAATTTCAAATGTGTTTTTCGTGCGCGCAATGCCGCCATACGTCTTTGATAACCGGAAGGTATTTGAATTCAATATTATGTTGCATTATTCAGTATCTTCATCATATGTAACGACGGGCTGCGTCAAGCTTCTGTGCGTCTGTGCATGCATGACCGCCTTGAGCATTAAGGCATTAAGGCCTACGCCGTGCGCCTCAGGTCTGGCAGTTAAGAAGGGGTGATGGCCCATGTTAATGATGCTTCCACAACCATCTGAATAGCAGTCCCTGCATTTCAGGGACGAACGAAAATACCGATTGAGGGCCTATTTCGAATAGCTTTTGGAGTGCTTAAAACCACTGCGTATTTGGTTTGCTCGAGCTGCTCTAGTCAACCGCCGACTGCACACCTTGGTCTGCGCTACAAACCGACCGGAGACGCGACAGCCACACAAGGTTCTCAGCTGCCTTCAGAAGTACTACTTGAGGCGTATTTAACTCGCGCACTTCCGTACGCTTCCGCTGCCTGAGCATAAATGAAGAGCCCCACTGTGCAAGCCTTGCGAAGGCCACCATACAGCGGCAAGAAGAACGCTGTGCAAGTGCAACGAGCTGCTCTCCACATGTCGTTTTCGCATTCATCTCTTTATGGCTGTAAACGCCCACGAGCTGGAGTCCCACACGGTTAGAGGGTACTGAACCAGCATTGCTAGAACGATTCCACGACGTCACCTAGACAGGCAGCACTCTCCCATTGGTTGTGCAATCAAGCGTTGCTTCGCAATATTGCCAAACCTTGCTTTTCGTTGAGCAATGAGCCCCCTCAAGAAGCCCTGCAAATACCGTCAACGCGGAACTTCTGTACTGTATCGAAGAAAAGAGCAGAGAAAAGGACCCACAGAGGACAATATACAAACCTGTTGGGCTTTAGAACTCCCTAACTGTTACATTGACGCAGAATCAATGAAATGCTTAATTTTCTTCTTCCACAGCCTGTGGGTGAGAGCGGTGGACTGGTGCAGAGTGCAGAAAATGCGTTGCCCAGCGAATGCGCCCTTCTGAATTATTATTCGTTGAGCTTTAGATCTCTGAGGCGTCACGGGTGCTACTCGCCTTTGGGATATTTATCCTTTTGCTTCATTTGCAGCTCAACCGCATTACCCCGCGATGCCAGCGATGGCAGCCCCTGCTATCGACGTCATCGACGTTGCAGGTCGATCACTGCATTCCCCATTTGATAAAGAGCTCCCCAGATAAGTAGTTTCGTCCCACTTCTGATAATTTCAAGCATTTCACAAGAAGTGTGCAGACGGGAAACAGATGTGCAAAGAGCCGACGGCGACAGGTTGATACAATCAGCTTTCCTTCTCACTTTCCATTTGCCATCCGCATCGTCAGACGGTAAACTATTAAACTTTCTTGTATTATTAAACATAAATCTTGGTTTTGTTTTCCGTTGTTTCAACAACTACCACTGATTTTCCCTACTCAAGCGAACGCAGGCTGCACTTTTGCACACCATTTCAGTTCGTCGATAGCCAGTTGCAGCACACAAGCAGCATAAGATCGTTTGTTCGTGTGCATATTTCCTCCCAAATAACTAAAGAAGGGATTAAACATAAGCTTTATATGCACATCAAAAAGGCTTGAACAATTAGCTGACCGGTGTGCATGCAGCTGCAGACCAGCGGCCAGCGTAACCGCTGCCATACTCCAACGGTTCGGGCGGGCTCATGTAGGCGGAGTTACTGTTTTCTGTTGCCTTCTTTCTTTAATTGCAATTAGTTGTGTCTCATATGTATGAAAGACGGCATAAATAAGCAGAGCCGATTGATCTGTGCTGCACTGGTCGGTACCTCATTGCAGCCACGCCAGCCATAGGGGGCGTGCAGTGGCTTGAGCGTGCAAAAGGCGTATCTTTCTTCTCGTATTTTTCTCGTTCCTCTGTTGTTTTGTTTTTTACTTCCTTTTAACGATTATTTGGGCTTCGCTGAATCAAACGGCTGTGCGCCCCGCCTCTAACAGCTGGACCCCTCCGGTCCTCCGTCGCCATACCATCGTTTTAACTTTAGCTGCTTTCAACAGTTATTCCGCCTCCTTTTCCCTGAAGTCTGTCTGCAAAACCCTGCGGACAGTAGGGCCATTCTAGGGGCAATGCAACTGGCCTGACGCTGACCTTCATTGGTGCTGTAGTGTGTTGGCTGCTTGCCGCCATCGCTGTGCTCTTATAGCTGTTTTTGCGGGCCTCTTTGGGGCCCCCACTGTACCTCTGGATGAGCGTGTGGGGGAAGGAGACCCCCTGTCGAGTTTCTTAGTGATTGAAATAGCTGTGGAACCCCGCTGCGGTTGTGCAAAAGATCGGCAGCAAAGCCCTTGCAGTGTCATGATGCACATGCGCTGGGATGTCTTCTGAGACAGCCGAATACGGGGCGTCCCATGGGACGGGTTGGGGCCCACAGGGTCCCCTACGAGATAGGGAGAGGCGGCGGCAAGACAACAGTGAGGGGGGCACTTCGTTTCAACTCTGTGCGTCGGCTTGTCAAAGCGTCAGCACCGAGCAGGATGAGCCGATGAAGCACAAGTCTTTGCAGAATTGCTGCAACAGCAACAGCAGATATAACTGCAGCAGCAACTGCGGCAGCAACAGCAGCAACAACAACAACAGCAGCCGCAACGGCAGCACAAGCAGCACCTTAGCGACATCTTCCTTGGGTCCTCCTGCTGCAGGTGCTGCTGCCTACCCCCAGGAGGGAGGGTCTGGATCCCCTCCCGGGTCGTTACAGTCTTTGAGACTCCTTCAGGAGGTGCAGGGTCTGCCGGGGTCTCATGGTACGCATGCACGACACTTGATGTGCTTTTTGCAACGTCTCTGGTGGACAAACCTTCGCTCTCGGCATCAGGGGGCTCCTTGCTCTTCTTCACAAGAAGTTAGAGGAGGGCTTACGGTGTATGAACACGAGACGGAGGTGGGGCTTTCTCAGATTGGCGTCTGTGCAGTGGCTGCTGCTGATCCCCTCTGTCCTTCCTCGGTAAACGGAGACACCAGCAGCAGCAGCAGCACCTTGCCTAGGCAGTGCTGCTGTGCTGCCTCTGAGCCTAAACGTCGCCATCGGAGATCTCCATTCTGCATCTGCCGGGCTAACTCATGCCCCGGCAGAGTTGGTGCTGCAGCAGGAGCAGCAGGAGCAGCAGGAGCAGCAAAGGGGGCTTATGGTATTGGCAGCTTTGGAGACAGACGGCGTGCCTCTCTATTTAACCTGATCGAAGGGAGAGTGGACTCATGCATTCCCGCTAGAAGGGGACGTACGAGGGGACAGCAGCATCCGCAGCAGCAGCAACAGCAACAGCAGCAGCAACAGCAACAGCAGAACCTGCGGCGGCAGGGTTGTGGAGAGACAGCTGCTGGCAGCAGCAGACGATCGGGCAATTGTGAAGAAGATCTTCTTCGTAAGAAGCTGTGGACTTTAGGGTCTCTTCCAGATCATGCAATGGTGGTGAAGATGCCTTCTCAAGTTGGGCGGCTGTCTTCTTGTATATTTTCTCCTCTGAGGGCTTCGCAAACACTAGGAGGAGGCAGAGGCGACCGCAGGGCCTGTGACAACACTCCTCCTCCTTCAGGCATCAAAGTAAGCTAAATTAAACAAAGGCATTTATTTGTCTCCCCCTCGTGGGGCACTCCTGTCTTCTTCCCTTCGTTTCTACTCCTTTTGCTTGGGCGGCCTTTCTTTCTTCGTGATTGCCCCTGGCTGCCTCGCAGGGCCGGTATCTATATATATATATATATGTATATATATATATATATGTATATATAAATATATATATATATATATATACAAGCATGTGCATGTGCGTTTATATGCATTTGTGTGTGTGTGCATGCGTGTGTGCATTGGATATATGCATCCACATGTAAATATATATTGGCGCATTCTAATAATGATAAATATATTATGCATTCTCCTTCACTGTCTCTTGTTTAGTTTGTAAATGCATACACTGAAACCCTATTAGGGTGTACAATCCCTCCTCTGCTGCTATACGAGGAAGAGAGAGAGACATCGCATGCTAGGCCCTTTTCTTAACTTAAGTTTGCATGCGCTTCGTTTTGCTTCTGCAGTTGCTACCTGTTGTAACCCCCAAAGGAGATGAAACCCCCAGGAGGGCCTCTGTTCATGTAGTGGTTAATACAGATTATGAGGGGGCCCCTCGTGGGGGCCGCAGGCTGCCCGCGTCGAACAGCCTTCAGGATTTGCATGTGCTGGGAGGAGATGGCGGCTGCTTCGTTCATCTCCGTCAGCCTCACCACCTTAATCCGCCGATGGGCTGCAACACTAGCCGCAGCAGCAACAGCAGCAGCAGCAGCAGCAGCAGCGGAGACGGTTCGCATAGAGGAGAGAGACACAACAACTTGGCCAGTCAGGGTGCTGCACCGCTCACAGCTGTGCGATGGACTCGCCCTTCGCAAGAGCCGCAAACAGCAGCAGCAACAGCAGCAGGACCAGCAGCAGCAGGAACAAGAGGGCGCGTGGGAGCCCCAGGACCAGCAGCTTCGTCAGCATCCAAGGCAGCTACAGCAGCAGCAGCTCCACCAGCAGCAGCCTCGCGAAGCAGCCGCGGTGTCCCCGGGAAGACCGTTATATCTACTGTCTCCGCATGCAGCTGGTCAGACCCGCCTAGCGTTAGGGCCTGCCCCATTCAAAAGTACCTCGCTCACACGCAACGCAGGTTCGTGCTGTCTCGGCTGCTTCCCCATATATATATATATATGTATATATATGTATATATATATATAAATGTATTTGTACATGAATAGACATGCACATAGATACATCATGCTTATAGATATATGTATGTATACATCTATGTATATGAGAGGCCTTCCTTTTAGAGTCGCACTGAGAGACGCAGGGACAGCAGGGCGTGTGGTTGATGCATAGTGTTTGGTAGAGATGAAGGGGGTTTCTTTATTTATTTATTAAGACTTGTGAATTATCTTGTTGCGCAACAGAGACTTAGGGGCTTTATGTTGGGGCCCTGCTGCAAGTGCAGCGGAGGCAGAAGAAGAGAGGCTGGTAAGGTGTCTCTCAGGCTGCAGCACCTGCAAGTCTGAAGGGACAGCTTCGTTTTGTGCAGTGGACCATAAGCACAGCAGACAAGGAAGGGGTGAGGGGACAGCACGAAGCGATGCTCCTCGCTACTTAGCAATGAGTGATTGTTTATCAGAATACCCAGAGATCTTAGTGCAGCTTCTTAGGGGCCCATTGGGACGGAGACACCCGGAAGTCGATTTGCTGCGTCTCCAAAAAGAAGCAAAGCCTCCTCAGGAGACAGAAGAACCAGGTTAGCTCTTCATCTCCTTTGTTACTGTTCTTTGTACACTCTAAGCCCCAAACCCTGAGCTGAGCTTTCTTTGCTATTCGCTCTCTTGCAAGTTTGAAGTTATGTTGCTGGAGAGACTTGCAGCCCCCCACCCCTCCCTTCCTTCCCCCTAGCTTGTGCTGAAGCTGTCTCCTTTTTTGTTGCTGCATATTTTTTGATGTTGTGTCTTTCTAGTGTTTGGGTGCGAGTGTCTGTAGATGTTTCTCTTTCTTACTGTGCGTCCATCCATCTTCTTGTTTGGTAGCTAGGCCTGCCGCATGCATTTACAGTTGTTGTTGCATGCATCAGCACCTACTGCTGCATGCATCAGCAGTTGTTGTTGCATGCATATGCAGCTGCTGCTGCATGCATGTGCAGTTGGTGCTGCATGCATATGCATTTGTTGTTGCATGCATCAGCATTTGCGGCTGCATGCATATGGACTTGTTCTTGCAGTGGGGTGTATATATATATATATATGTGTGTGTGTGAGGCGCTGCAGCTCGTAAGGATTTATGTTTATGGATTGGGGCTTTTAGCATTCCTAGAGACGACAAGAGATATAGAGGAGGGGAAGACGCTTGGTTTCTTGATGCATCACAGAACGCCTTTGGTGTAGCTGATGGGGTGTCTGAGTGGGAAGACTTAGCTGGAATAAACCCGCAAGAATATGCACAAGATTTAATGCAGGGGACGCAGGAGGCGCTGGGTCTAATACAGAAAGAGCAGCAGCAGCAGCGGAAGGCGCAGGCAAACAAGGAAGGAAAGAAACATAAAAAAGGGGGTTCTGAGGGGGAGACAGATGCAGAAGGAGACACTGAAAACACCCGTCGTCTTAATCCTGCAGATCTTGCAAAAGAAGCACTCACTAGGGCTTATCATAAGGCCCGCAACTTTGGTAGCAGTACAGCCATAGTAGGCGTCCTTGATGGAGACAGCGGGGTATTTGGTGCGTTCATGCATGCAAGAATAATCTATTTCCCTTCTATCCCTTCATAAACCCAAACCCTAAACCCTAACCCTTAAACCCTAAACCCTGTTAAAAGCACAAACCACCGATATCTGCAACATACGCACAGCTTCTTGCATTACACAGGAGGATTCAAACCCTAGCCAGCAGCTGCAACCTGTATATACACCTGGGAGATCACTGCTCTTGAGGCCGCAGAGAGCTGCTCTTGCCGTACCAACTCTCCACTGCAAGGTCTACTAGGGTTTAGGGTTTAAGGTTAAGGATTTAGGGTTTAGGGTTTAGGGTTTAGGCGTGAGTGTGGGGGGTTTATGTATCAGGCCTTGCTAACTTGGGCGACAGCAGCAGTTTGGTGCTGCGTCGGCCTCGTGCGCGGGGGTCTTTGACTCAGTTGAGTTTAGTAAAGAAAGTAAAAGAAATGCAACACGGCTTTAATGTTCCTTTTCAGTTTGCACATCTCCCTGCACCTGAGGAGTGGGATGGCTTGCTGCAGAAGGTGTGTCTGCTGTCTCCTGCTGCACTTGTCTCCTTCGTTCTTTCGTCAATAGATGTCTCTTCTTTGTTGTAGTCTTTATGTCTTTCTAGGGTTTAGCGTTTAGGGGTTAGCGTTTAGGGTCTTAAGGTTTATCACTTCGCCGTGGGTTTTTCTTATTTGCTGCATTGTTGCGTATCCGTCTGCTACTGTTGCATTATTCTGTACTTATTGCGGCTGCATGCGCTGGGGCTGCTGTTTCTCTGCTCCCTCTTTTTGTCTATTCCTCTCCGCCTTTCCCTTTCTGTTTGGGACTCTCTCTCTATCTCTCTCTCTATCTCTCTCTCTCTCTGTGTGTGTGTATGTGTGTCTATGTATCTATCTATTTATCTATGTGTCTATCTCTCTCTCTCTAGTATGCTTGGGTGCATCTATCGAAACACCAAAAGTTGAGGCCTCATGTGCCGCATCCTTTGCTGTAATGTTGCATTTGTTGTTGCTGTCTTTGCTGTCTTTGCTGCTGCTGCCTTTATTGCTGCTGCTGCCGTCTTTGCTGTCTCTGCCTTTTGTTTTGCTGCTGCCTCCTTTGCTGCTGTCTTTGCTGTCTTTACTGCTGCTGCTGCTGCTGCAGGGTTTGACTCGGTTGGTTGGCATAGCGAAGCAGGAGTACGGACAGGGTAACGGGGGGAAGATAGGAGACGAGCCTTCTGCTATTCAATCAACCAGTGTCCCTGTTCAAGATGGAGACCTCATCATTTTAGGGACAGATGGTCTCTTTGACAACGTCTTCGACTTCGAAGTCCTCGCCCTCACTGGTACAGTAACCCAATAACTCTGCATGCATGCACGCATGCATGCATGCATGCGGAGTTGCGTGCATGCGTAAATGCATGCGAGCGTGCATGCATGCATTCATGCATGCAGAGTTGTATTCATGCGAACAGTTGTCTGTTGGAGGGGCTTGGTGCATGTGTGCATGCATATACAAGTGCATCTGCATGCATGCATGCATCAAGGATTTTTGTTGTATTGTCGGTGCATGCATGCATTCATGCATGCATAAAGTTTTGTTGTAGAGAGTATCTGTACTTCTGCTGTCTCCTTGCTACAGCTGTGTATTCTTGTGTCTTCGGCATGCATAGCGTCCCCTCTGCTGTCCCCTTCGTATCTTTTCTTTGTTTGTTTGCTGCCTTGGCTTTCTTCAGGTCTCGCTGTCTCTCCTCATGAGGCGCAAACTTTACTTGGAGATGCATCACTTGCAACTCCCCCAGAGGATGTAGCGAGGGCTCTAGCACTTGCTGCTTACTGGAGGTCTCTTGATAGAGACGCACAAACGCCGTTTTCTAAGGAGGCGCGGAGATGTCATAACAAACAGTCTCTACCTGTACAGACACCCGACGGCTCATCAGAACAAGGGGCCCCACAGGCATCACCAGTGCATGCAATGTTCTTAGCGGGGCTGCTAAGCGGCGGTAAAGAAGATGATATTACCGTTGCTGCAGCGTGGGTCTGCCGCAAGGACAGGTGTATATACACCTCAGATGGGGACGCAGAGTCAGCAGCAGAAAAGAAGTTCAGCCAGAGAATGCCAGCCAACACACCCTTGTTGCAGCGGCAACAGCAGCAGCACCAGCATCAACAGCAGCAGCACCAGCAGCAGCGGCAGCAGCAGCAGCACCAGCAGCGGCAATCAGAGGGAGCAGCTGCACCAAACAAGGAGAAGCAGACATAAAGGAGACATAAAGACGTCCGTAGAGATAACGAAAAAAGAGGGGACAGGAGGGAGAGGGAGAGCGCAGCAGATGCTTCTTGGCTTCTCTTGTGTGGGGCCTATACATTCTCCCTTTAAATATTTAAAAAGCAATTTGTTAAAGCACTAAAGAAAAATGCATGCATGCAGCAGCCACCTTGCATAAATGCATGCAGCAGCCATTTCCGCATGCATGCACCAGTCACCTTTTATTCATGCATGCATGCATGCATGCAACAGCCACCTTCTATGCATGCACGCATGCATGCAAAAGCCACCTTGTATGCATTCATGCGTGCATGCATGCATACAACGGCCACCTTCTATTCATTCGCGCATGCATGAAACAGTCACCCTTCATGCTCGCATGCATGCATGCAGCAGCGAACTTTTGTGCATACATGCAGCAGTGAGCACTTCGTGAATGCAGCACCCGAGTCCTAATGCATGCAGCAGCCGCGTCGCATTCCAGGGCCAAAGTGCGAGGAGTTGCTGACAGCGGCGCTGCAGCAGAATATGCGGTGTACGTGCAGTGCGCGCTTGGGTGGGGGTGTTGCTGCATTGCTGCTGCAGCTGCAAATCTATAGAAGCAGGCAGCAGCATTGTGTCTGTTAATTGTATTTAATTGCATTACAAACACACATGCAGCATCAAAAGCACTCAAATACCCATATTTTTGTTGTTGCTGCTGCTGATTCTGCTGGCAGCAAATAGAAATGCACCGCACGCCTTGCTGCTGGCTTATTCTTTGCTTTCCTGAAACAAGCAGCAGCAGCAATAACAACAGCAACGGTAGCAGCAGCAGCGGCAGCGGCAGCAATAACAGCAACGGCAGCAGTAACAGCAGTGGCAGAGGCCCCTGCAGACAGCTGCAGCACCCAGGCGTCTCCGCAACGAAGTGGCTGTAAGTAGACACCGCCTTAGCCTCCCGTTCTCTATTCCTAAACCCTAAACCCTAACCCTAAACCGCTCCAGTTCTGCTGTCAATAGGGGAAACGAAGCAAAGAAACCCACGGCCGTGAGAGTACAGCCGCTGCTCACTCTGATGTTCATTATTACTATTATTACTATTTATTATTATTATTATTATTACTATTTACTATTATTATTATTATCACTATTATTCTTCCGCCTTGGTTTACTGCTTTCTTTAAGATCTCCCTCTTTAAAGTAACAGTCGCACATAATATTTAAAAAGATATCGAAACAATATAATTCAGGTTGGTGGATAGCCTTCATAATATAAAGGGCCCTTAATTAGGGCCATTTGCTTGTTGCATGCATGCAGACATTTTTGATGTAGGAGGAATATAATTAATCATTCATTATACCTCTTTCTCTTAGAACGCAGGCTTTTGCTGCTGCTACGCCTCTTGCTGTTGCTACTTTGTCGAACGCCTAGCCCTTTTTCTATACCTTATTTATCTATTTACTATATGTACAATGTAGAGACTCCTGCACAAACATATAAATATATATATATATATATATCATATTATTCCCCAACGAATGTTTCTTCTCCGTATACACTTGAATGCCAGCT